AAAATAAGAGAGTGTGGCCCTCTCTCCTTTGGGGAGGGCTTTGGGGCCGCTTCACTCCTTTTCCTACTGCCTCTAAAACAGCGCCTTCAGATTGTGGGTTATGATGTCATGGGGTGATAGCATCTGGCAGTGTTTGCCAAAGGCCTCACTGCAGGTTAGCCCAGGCCCAGGCACGAGCCCCAGTGACTAGCGAGAAAGCCAGGAATGGCTGAATGCAGTGCCGGAGCCCCTGCGGGGAAGAGCTGAGTCCCAGCCCCTTTTCTGCCTCTAACCCTGCTGCCACATCTTGGGCAAGTGACTCCCCACTCAGGGCCTCAGTATCCTCATCCTAAAATGAGGACCTTGACTGTGATGATGGGTGTGGGTTCCTTCCAGCTTTAACATTCTTTGGCCAATACCCAGACAATTCCTGGAGAGACACTAGGACTGAGCTAAGCTGAGTGGCCAGACACTAACCAACCTGGTTAGGTGCTCTAAACCAACAGCATAGTGGCCAAGGTGGGAATATAACCTCTCCCCCTCACAGAGATGTTCAGTCACTCCTCTGGATTTATATTTTTTAAAAAAAGAGAGAGAGAAATGACATCATAACAGAATTTATGGAAATAAATGAAACTGGAAATAAAAGGGGAGGTTTTGCTGGTATTGCGGAGTGGGGGGTAGAAGCCTACACTGCCTTCCTTGTTTATTTGATTATTTTTTTTGATTATTATTTATTTGATTATTACAAATATGTAATCAATCTTACTGTTTTGAATAACATGTCCAGATTGCAATTTAAGGATAGTGTCTGGGAATTGCAGCTTTTGGACCAACTGTAGAGAAAAAGCAAATGTAAAACTAAACAAACCCTTCCGAATCCCCTGCTTGACTCAGCGCAGCCATTCTCCCGCCCTCTTTCCTTCTGCTCCGGCTCCTGGTTGGTACCTGCTCTTTAAGATCTTCTTCCAGTTTCTGGATGTAGTGGGTCTGGAGTGTGGTGATCTCTTCTCCAGAGTTTTTGTTTTCCACACACTAAATATCTTAAAAGTTTCATAGGCATTGCTTAGGTACAAAGTAGAAACTTTACACAAGTATTACCTCCCCTTCCCGCTGGCTTCTTCTTTGCTCCATTAAGGGGGCCAGGGCTTCTGCAGGGAATTCCTGCTCCCATGCCCTTTGCTGTAACCCTCACGATGACCTCTGGCTCCTAGGGTCAGCCTGGTCCTCCCTCTGCAGCTGCAGGCCCACCTGCCTGCTCAAATCCAGCCCAAGCCCTGGACTAACTCACAGCTGCTCTGACTTAAAACTCAAGCCCTCAGGGGATGCCTTAGAGTTGGGGTGGGGGTTGGGGGGTGGATGGAGAAGGGCGGAGGAAAGAGTAGGAGGGAGGGGCGAGAAGGGGGAAAAAGAGAAATGGAAAGAAAATGAGCTTCACTAGGGCTAACTCTGCTTGTTCTTCCAGTCTGAGCTGACACAGCAGAAAGGGGTGGTGGTGGGCGGAGGTGGCAAGAAAAGTCCAGTTAAAGCCCCATCTCATCTTCCCAACTCCCGTTTTGGTTGGCTCAGGGTATGGCCATCCTCTCAAAGACTTGTTTCAGAGGGAGGGGGTGCGGGTGGGAAAGGAATTTGGCTCCTTCAGTTTTCCATGATCTTGCTCAACCCAGACATAAATTTGGCCAATAAACCTAACTCTGGAACTTGACTTCAACATGGCATTTTAGACCAAGCTTGGAGTTGAAGCCAGGGTGATGGAGGCCAAACCCCTCAAAGTAGCAAAGGCTGAATTCATTTTTATTTAGGTAATGCTTTTGCTTTCTTTTCCAGAAGTCTATTTTTTGTCCCACGGTGTCTCATTTCTTAATGACGGAACAGAAACCCAGAACCCACGGTTCCCTACATCTCAAACTGAATGGCTCACCAGCACAGAGGAGACCTACCTGAACCCCAGTATCTGTGCTGGGGACCAGCCCATCAAACCTCATTCCCCACCAAAAATGCCGGAAAGCAAACCCAGCACTTCCTGGACTCCCTCCACTCACCGCTATTTACTGAGCTTTGCCCAACAAATAACTCCCGTCTTTCATCTCCCTCCAGCCTCACACACATTCTTTTTTCCATATCTGTCTCTGCTCCTGAACTGGTCGGAATGAAATGCAGAGCCAGGCTCGCTCTCAGCGCCCGGCTCTCGGGCCCACTCCCTCTGCAGTTGCTCAGCAACCGCCTAGCAAAACACCGTCTCCTCCGCCCTCTCCTCTCCCTCCCAGAGGCTTTGGCTGCCTGCCACCTCACTCTCCTCTGCTCCCCATTTCTGCTTCCAGAAATGCACCTTTTTTGGGTTCTACATGTGTTTGGTTACGTATAAATATATATAATATAGTATATAGCATATATACAATATATAATACGCATTATATAGATGTATCGTGTGTGTGTGTGTGTGTGTGTGTCTGTGTATGCTGCAACTGCGGGAGGGAGGGGGAGAATCCATATCTGCAAGCTCAGATTTTGGCGGGGCGGGCGGGGGGAAGACGAGGGAGGTGGGTTGGGAAGCAGGAATTTTGGCTAAAGGACCAAAAGGGCACACTCTCTCTCTCTGTCCATTTCTCTCTTCTTAAGAACGGTCTGTACACCATCTCCAACTTTTTGGGGACCCGCCCAATGGTTGTCCGGCTAAAACGCCCTTTCCAGGAGCGCCCACTCCCATCCCATCTGTTCGGGACGAAGACGTCGGCACCAGCCGCGGTGGAGCGCCGCCAACCCGCAACAGCAGCCGGCCGGGCACCTGCCTTTGGCGGGGTGGAGTCGGAGAGGAGTGCTGGGGAGGGGGCGGGTAGAAGAGGCTGCTTCGGGTTGGCCCAAAGGCACTCAGAAGGTGGGGGTTGGGCAAGGGGCGGCAGGGAATTCTACAAGGGATCTTGCTTGGGACTGAAGTGTCGTGTGTGTGTGTGTGTGTGTGTGTGTGTGTGTGTGTGTGTGTTGTGTGTGTGTGATGCGCCCTCCGTGCTCGCCTAGCAATTGAGCGCGCGTGCGCCCTGCGTGCACACCCTTCACACTGGCCACATCACACTACACGTTTGGCAAATAATAAGTGGAGCCAGGATGCTGCTGAGTGACACCTTACGTACTTTCGGTGTGACTGGATTGTTACCCAGGGCGGTCGCTTCCCAGCCAGGAAATCAATTAATGTTTTCCCCTTCCGCTAGGCTTTTCCAAATCCACATCCCCCAAGATGAAGGCAGGCAGCACCACCTTTGAAAAGTGGAGCTTAATAAAAATAACCTCACAAGTCGGTCTCTGGGGTTCCCAGGGACTGCGCGTCCTCCCCTTTTCCTCTTTTTGCAGGCTGCAACCTGGAGATCGACTACCTCTTGCAAAGCTGGAGGGGCTGGCGCCTGCGTCACTCAAACCCTGCCGGGTTTGCGGGGACAGAGGCTGAACACAGGAAGCTCTTCGGCTCCTGGCAAGCGCGGACGCACTCCTCTCCTGCGCTATAGTGACTGAAGTTTGCACTTCAGAAAACTCATGTTAGGGTGCTCGTGAGTAATGGAAAGGGACAGAGAGGGAGAAGGGGATTGCCCCCGTAACTAAATTGTCCCCCTAACTAAACTACGCCAATTAAACATTGTTTAGCCAAGTTTTAACCCCTATTGGAGAGACTCAATAGCCAGTTTGACGTCTTAGAATCCAGACTTTTATGTAGTTTATTTAACTTTTTTTTTTTAACTAAAGATCAGGTAACTCTTTCCAAAAAGAAACTCAGTCTAAGGGGGTAGAACTGTTCTGATTGAACAAGTAGCTGTGTCAATCATTTCAACCCTAGACTTCTGGCGCCGAGAATTTGGGGGCGGGGCAACCCGGGGGCGGGGCAAGCGGAGGCGAGGCTACCAGTGCGTGGCTTTTCTGTCTCCGCCCCCTGAATTTTGCATTCTGCGTTTCCAGGGCCCCTCATACACTTACTGCACACCCACTTCTGATCTGGTTTAGGAGACTGGGGAGGGTGGGGGGGGGGGGGGCATTGCGGAGGGAGGAATTGCGGGGCGGGGGTGGAGATGGTGGTGGTGCCGGGAATCTGCACAGGCGAGGAAGTTGAAAGGTCTGAATCTCACATCCCCTTTTGCCTCCCAGCCCTATGTCCACCTTTCATCCTAGGTAAAATCTGAATTGGAGAGGGGAAAAAAGGAATTAGATTCAGAAACGAACACCAGGCACAGAATCCCAAACCCTTCCTTCCTACTCTTCCCCATCCCCACCCCGCACCCCCGCGCTCCTAAAGCATTTTTTCCCTTCCTGGGATAAAATAAAAGTCATTTTGCAGTTAAGTATGTTTTACCATCTACCACAGGCAATCATCTTCAATCAAAAGCAATGGTTATGCACATGGGAGGGGCTTCACGGCTTCCACCCGAAAGGCATTAGTTACCAAGAATGTGGGGTGCTTGTGATGTGTGTGTAGGGGTGGAGGGATAGAAACGCCTGGAGGCACGGGGGTGGAGGGGCCAAAAGGGACAAAGGTGGAATTAGCTCAGAAGATGGGTAACGCCTCTCTCTCCAGGCCGCAATTAAAATAATATTTTAACAAAAGAGATTTTTTTCCAAGTTCAGAAAAAAACGTATGCGGGGCGCGAGGTGGGTGGAGGAGGGAGTTGATAATGTAACATACACTCTTTCATACTGGAGATAGGGTACCAGGGGATTTGGACCTTGTGACCGAATGGGAACTCAGAATCAGTATTCGGACAGAGTGGGGGGGTGGGGGAGGGGGCGGGCAAGGTGTAGGTAGGAGGTAGGAGGAAGGAGGAAGGAGAAAGAGCGAAAGCTGGGATAGACTTGGCTAGACAGTTCCCCAGGGTAGCAGGATCCTCCAGGGCTCCAATTCCGAGGTGCAAGGACCCTCCCCGACTACTCCCGAGCTGCACCCCAGCTCGAAGCCACTTGCTGCGCAAAGCGCGCGGGCCCAGCCGGTCCCGTGTCCCCCGCCCGTGCGCCGCGTAACTGACTGGCACACTGAGCGCGCTCACCGATCTTGACTTGCTCGCGGTAGCTCTTTTCGTTGAGGCAAACCCCGCGGCCGTGCAGCAGGGCGTGCAGCGGCTTCTCCTCGTCCTGCCGGGGGAGGCAGCGCAGCCCCTGGGCGCAGCGCTCGGTGTAGACGCCGCACGACTGCCCCTCGGCCAGGGCGCAGGTCATGCAGCAGCCGCAGCCCGGCTCCTTGACCAGCTCGCAGCCCAGGGGGCTGGGGGGGCACATGGAGAGGGCTTTCTCGTCGCAGGGCTCGCAGTGCACGAAGGAGCCCAGGCTCTGGGCCGGCCCCGCATAGGCGGCCAGCAGCAGGAGGACCGCGGTGAGCAACATCATCTTCTCTTAGTTGCCCCCTTTACCTCGGGGTGGGGCAGGAGAGCGAGAGTGCAGGGATAAAGGGGCCAAGAGGGCGCCCGGAGATTTTTTTGTTTTTGTTTTTGTTTTAAAATTTCTAGCAGGTAGAGCAGGTGCCCTCCCCCAGACACTTGCAAAAAGGTAGAGAGAGATGGAGGACTGGGGTGCCCGCGAGCAGGTCCCAGCTGCAAGAATTAAAGCCTTGCAACAGGTTGGGGGAAGCAGGGCAGCGCCAGGTGCACCCAGTGAGCGGAGGCCGGAGAAACCCTCAAGCCTGAGCGAGTCAGAATTATAGGGGGAAAATAGCCACAAAATTGTTCACCCCCAAGCAACCACCGAAATAATGAGCTCGGAGGCAGTGGAGATGGCGTTGGGGTTGGGGGAGAAAAATGGATTTATCTTTAAAATTTTTGCTTAAAATCTAAAACACACCCCGCTCCTTTCTAACCCTCAGCTGCCGGCGGTGCGCGGCGGCGCGGAACAGGTAAGAGGCGTTGGCTGCAGCCGAGAGGGTGGGAGAAAACGTTGAAATCAAGAAATTAAAAAAAAAAAAAACCAAAAAACCCAAAACAAAAAAACCCCAAACCCTAACACCTCTTTTCTCCCACTTTGCCACCTCCTCTTCGAAATTCGCAGGTTCTACGCGAAGTCCGGAGAAGGGTGAAAACGGAGGAGGGGTAATGGGGTAATGAAAAGGAGCAAAAAAAGGAAAAAGCCCACACTGCTTTGCAGCTCTTTCCTAGCTCTTTTCCCCTGCAGAAGTTTCCAAAGAGACTACAGGCTCCGGGCGAGCAGGCGCTTTTAAATAGCCGGCCCCTGGCTGCCAGCCAGTTTGTAGCTGCAATTTGAGCTTCCCAACACCCAACTCAGGCAAGGATGCCAAGGAGCTTTGCAGTACAAACTCACACGGGGTGGGGGTGGGGAGAGGCCTTCTAGACACAAGGGGGCTCCCCTTCGCTCCCTGAACAGCGCTCTCCTCTCCCCTGAACAGCGCCCTCCTCCCCGCGGAATGTAAGAAAGGGGCAAGGGGGACAGGCTGGGGCTACCGAGTGTGGGGAGGAGGTGGAGGGGCCAGTGGAAGACAGAGTTCTTCGGAGCAGGGTGAACACAATGAGGAGAGTAACTTGGTCTCCCCCTCCCTACTATCCCTTAACTAGTCAAGGCACAGGCTGAAGGGAGACGTATTTTCTTATTAGCCAACCGGATATACCATGCCCAAGAAATCTTCCTAAGCTTCTGCAATTGACTGTATGCTGGTGTCTGTTTCCATGTCCGTGTGTGCGCTTGGGGGACAGGTACTGTAGGATGGCCAGTGATGGCTGGTGAGCTAAATTTTTTTTTTTAAAAGAAGAAAAACTGAATTTCTCCACTAAAGGTCTGGAGAAGAGGATTTAATCAGGGGGTTTCTGTACTCATGATGAGGAGGTGACCACTTTCCTTCAGCTACGTTGGCCAGGGAGGTTCTCTGTCTCTTTCTCTCTCTCTCTCTCTCTCTCTCTCTGTGTGTGTGTGTGTGTGTGTGTTGTATACCTGCAAGAATGGACATTCATACATTTTAAGAGCAGTGAGTTGCAGAGATGGACACTTTGGAGGAAATCTAAGTCTGAAAACCTTACATGGTGGCCTAAAGTGTCCTTGTGTGTGGGGTTCTTAGAGGGAAGAAAGGTGGATTGGAGTGACACTTCCTTCTCTGTCATTTTGCAGAGGTATTTCTATTGGGCAGGGCCACATCCCGGAGGGAGTGGGTGGCAGAGTAGCAGGAGGAGACCTTGTGATAGGTTAGTTGGTGCTTGTAGGCACATCCCAGGAATATGAGCTGATAGGGCCACAGGACCTGCTGGGAAGAAGTCCTGACCAGGAACCGAATCATGCCACTAGAACCTCTTTCTTTAGTAAAATGAAAGAAAACTAAGGCCTCAAAAAACGAAGGTGGTGGTTTTAGCTTTTTTTTTTTGAAATTGACATGAGTGGGCCATGAACCTCATAGGCAAGTCAGAGAGAAATGACCAATGTCACTGCGCCTGCTGGGTGGACTTGGGGTGGGCTGTTACACTTTTCACACTGTGCTTCCTCCCTTGAGAAGGATTCTAACTCTCCTTTGGAGAAGGGGCTGCATTTCATGAAGTTTGCCACTAGACTGCACCCTTATCTATGATAAGAATTCTTTCTGGAGGACTGCTTTTAAGAAAATATTTTTCCTTGCTTGTTCAGTTCAGAAGCATCTCACTTTATGCCGTTAACACCCCCAGATCCTGATCTCTCTTCTCACTTATCTATTTGCCGAAAGGCACATTTTAAAACAAGGCTAACGTTTAAAGTTATGTCTTTGCCTGTATTGCCAAAGGGGATTTAGATGGTGGCTGGGAGAGGGAGAATTGTGTGTAATGATTAAAACAAAAAATAGCAGCAAGGCTCATCTTAATTTCTTCTTTTCTCTGTCTGGGGGCTTGGTAAGGTGTAGGAACAAATCAATATTCAAAACTTTGATGGAAATATTTTAGAAGTGAGCGAGATCATGTGTTATTTTCTCATTTGTGTCAAGTTCAGACTACAAGAGTGGCAGCAGAATGTGTGCAATACGTTCTCTTCCCTGCTCCTGTTTTCTTTCTGCACACCCTTAACAGCCCAGCCTGCCCCAGGCACACTGGCAGCTTTTAAGATGATTGGGGGAAATTGTGGTACCCCTTCCAAAGAAACATGAGTTGCCTCATTCCAGCCACCCTGTATTCTGAGAGAGATGGCCTCTAGTGACACCTCTTTTTGTGTAGCCGACTTCCAATGGCTGGATAATACAATATGTGAAGACAGGTAAAAGGAGTGGGGATCATTCACAGAAAAGATAAAAAGGGTAGAGAGAAGGGAGGAGGAGAATGTGGTGGGAGCTGGGCCCTGGGGCAGAGCAGTACAGGGGCCATGGAGAGAAGTTACTCTGTGAGACTATAAATGTTAAGCAGCCTTTTTTATTTATTATTATACTTTAAGTTCCGGGGTACATGTGCACAACGTGCAGGTTTGTTATATATGTGTACATGTGCCATGTTGGTGTGCTAAGCAGCCATTCTTTATCTCCACTTAGAAATGGGCTTATGTTATGAGGGATTCAGAGACTGGAGCTGTTGTCCAAGAGACCCTGGGGTAGGCTTCCCAAGAGGGCATAAGAGAAGAATTCTCAGCCTGGGATTGTCTGTAGTAATTTTATCCAAAGATGGAGGACTGGCCAGATGGGTTTTGCTTCTGAGTCCATAATTAACATATTACAGTGGAGTGGGAAGGTGTTGGTGTTGTTACTGCGGGATACGGGATTATGGAGGATGCCTATGAGCCTTACTTGGTTCCATTTTCCCCTCCCCTCCATTCTGGAGGTCTAGATCTGTTCACAATCACCTTTAGAAAATTGCTTCTAGAAAAAAAAATAGTTTGCATCAACCAGGTTAATTGGGAGGGGATCATTAATTCCTGCCATATACAAGTGTTCCCTTCCTAAAGACCCCCTTTGCTGCCAGCTTGCTTTTGCTCTCATGGGCTTCCCAACTCTGGCATAGACTAGCTTCTATACCTGTTAACTGTATCTTTTTCGGGGAAGTAGTATTTAAATATCAACCACTTGTGTCCCGTTTCCCTGGAGATCACCCCTCCTCTTTCCTTTAAAAGATTAACTGCTTATCAAAACCAACTTTCAAGAAATGCGACCAAGTGAAAAATTCATGCTCTTTTAGCTGGATAACTTTTCCAAGTATGGATGGCATTTTTATTTTATAAAGCTTCGGATTGCTTACCTGTGGTCATTTTCTGTGAGTTTCTAAGTGATTTTCAAGGATGATGCCTGATAACACAGTTTGGGAAAGCTAGACTTTTTAGTAGGACACAAAGTGTTATGGATTCTGCTGGTTAGAATGGAAAAACGTTAGCTAAGGATCTTCATTCTCTTTTCTGCATCACTCCCACCACTCTCAGGCTTATTTGTATAATTTATTCAATTTTTAAAGACCTCATGACATTGACTTCAGTCTCTCCAAGAGGCCAACATACATCAAGAATACTAATGCTGTGGCCGTGTTGTGCTGGTCTCAAACTAAGGCACAGTGATGTTCAATAAAGAAAGTAACCCGTTGTTCAGGTCCTTGCCTAGATCTGGGAGGTTCAGCAAGACAGGTCTGTATAAAGGAGCAGCATGAGGCAGCTTTGTTGTAGTGCTATTGCTGAAGGCTAGGTGGCAGGATAGATACATCATTAGAAACATGCTTCCTTTCATGAAGGGAAAGAAGCAGATACTGGTAGAAGTGTTTAACAATGGGGATGGGGGAGCGGGGAAAGAAAAAGCATGGATGGAGGGACATGTACGGACACCCTGTGGGTCCACTTACAGGCCACCTCAGCATCGGCACTGCACTGTTGCCCCAACAGCACCAGGCCAGCCTCAGGTGCAAAATCCTCTGTGTCCCACCGGATGCTATGTTCGTGATTACTTTTCTTTGGAGAAAAGGTACGGCCAGGGTAGGAACTTGATGACTTTGGGTTCATCAAAGGGTGTGTGTTCTAAACCTTCTCTGAGGAATAATCAGAAGTGATCTTCAGCCACAATTCATAAAAATTCCCCCTGTTTAAAAAAAGGTAATTATGGCATATTTCAAACATTCAAAGAACAGAAGATAATGGAGCATGTGCCCTCTACTCTCTATGCTTATTTAACACATGTTCACTTTTTGCCATTGTTGTTGAAGATTTTTTTTTGTTGTTGTTTTTGAGATGGAGTCTTGCTCTGTCTCCCAGGCTAGAGTGCAGTGGCACGATCTTGGTTCACTGCTACCTCCACCTCCCAGGTTCAGGTGATTCTCCTGCCTCAATCTCCCTAGTAGTTGGGACTACAGGTGCGCACCACTGTGCCTGGCTAATTTTTGTAGTTTTAGTAGAGACAGGGTTTCACCATGTAGGCCAGGCTGGTCTTGAAATCCTAACTTTGTGATTCACCCACCTTGGCCTCCCAAAGTGCTGGGATTACAGCCGTGAGCCACCGCGCCTAGCCAAAGATTTTGTTAGAAGTAGAGTGGGACAGGTCACAGCTCACCTCCCATGCATGCCATCCCTGCATCTTCTTCCCTGGACAGAAGTAGCCACTATCCTGAAATAGCTCTGTATCCTTTCTGCACAATATTTTTCTAGGTTTTATGTGTAGTTTCTCATAGAGCAGAATTACAGTGATTTTTGAGGGTGAAACCACGTGCTACTTTAGAGTTAATTTTGTAGTGGTGCTTGCAGTGGTGGCAATTTAACTAGAGTCTAAATTGACCCTGAGGCTGGCTGTTAAAGGAGCTGGAGCCAGCTGTGACGCAGAGTGATTTATATCCTGATGTGAGCTGCATATAAGTTAATAGCTGCACGAATTGATGTTTAGGAGGCTTCTGGAGCAGTTCCAGACAGATAGAGCAGAGCAGGGCAGGCTCCATAAATACTGTTTCTGGTTGGAGCCCTTTTGTCTTCTTGGATCATGGGATCTGGCATGTTCCTACAATGGACCGCTCAGAAGTTGCTTCAATTTTGGAAAATGAGATTAACCCGGAAAAGTGATCTGTTGTGACTTAGAGACAGTGTTGGTAGCTCCAGATCTAGGTGGGAGAGAGAGAGGGTAGGTAGAAAAAATGGAATCACATGGAAAAAGAGGAGAGGGAGAGAGTGTTAATTACTTGAAGCAGGTTTAGTATGATTCACATGAACCGTGAAAAGGCCAAGTAAAATCACAGTGCATGGTTAGCAGCTGAGATTTCACACAGTTCAGGAGGGAGAAGTGGTAAGAGCTAGCTTACCACTATTAGTGCAGAG